CAGGCATATTTGTTTTTAATAATAAATTTCCTTACATAACAAAAAAAAACTTGAATCTAAAGAAAAAATTTATTTTATATTCAATTTTTCGTTTATTATTTATCTTTCTTCATAAAAAAAAAACCTGAATGCCACACATGCGCACTAAATTACAATATGAATAAGAACAAATGTGAAGACAGAAAAAAAAGTAAATGAATGAACCTACTTCTTTACTTTTACACAAAAAAAAAAAATGGAAGCTCCATAATAAGACCAAAAGAAAACATGAGAGTGTATAAGAGAAACAATGCACTGTGACAGAAAAAAAATCAAACAAACAAACAAAAGATTGTATACATGAAAATTTTTTTCTATTATAGCTTTTATTTTGATTGTCATGTAAGCACGCATGAACAATATCGTTGTTTAAGATAAATATATATTTACAAAGAGATCATCAATGACTATTATGAGTAGATATCTTCGTACGGTTTTTTTTTTGTTTTCATTTTTAAAGAAAAACACATGATGATTTTGATACTTTATTTGTTTTAGGTGATAATACACTTCGAACAGCATCATCAAAAACCTATAAAATAAGAAATTGAAAAATATTTATAAATAAAAAATAAATAAATAAAAACAAACCTGTTTAAGACCTTTTTGAGTTAAGGCTGAACATTCAACATATTTAAAAGCACGAATTTTTTTACATAAACGTTGTCCTTGTTCACGTTTAATTGGTTGAAGATTTTGTTTTTGTAATTGATTAACAAAATCACGATCTTCACGTAAATCAATTTTTGTTCCTTAAATATATAAATTTTAATCAAAGATCTTTTCAAAAAAAAAAAAAATATTATTTTTTTATACCACATAAAATAACTGGTGTATCAGGACAATGATGTCGAATTTCTGGCATCCATTTATTTGTTATATTTGTAAATGATGTTGGACTTATAACACTAAAACAAAGTACAAATACATCCGTTTGTGGATATGATAATGGTCGAAGTCGATCATAATCTTCTTGACCAGCTGTATCCCATAAACCTAATGAAACTTTAACATTATCAACAACAATATTTGATGTATAATTATCAAACCTAAAATAAATTATAATTATTATTTTCAAAAGAAGAAAACAAACAAATAAAATAAAAAAAAACAACATACACTGTTGGTACATATTCTTCAGGAAATGTATTACTTGTAAATGACATTAACATACAAGTTTTTCCGACCGTACCATCGCCAACTATTACCAATTTAATTGGAACACTTTGATGAGGATTTAATTTATTTGCCATAGAACATATGTAATTAGACGATCGTTTCAATTTATGTTTTATCTTTGACAACAAAATGATAACATCTAAATATGTGTAATACGAACTCAAGTACAAATAGAAGAATCAACAATGAAAATCGAGAACATCGGACAGTAGTAGTAACTGTATAATCACATTCTTTCTCTTATTTCTTTACTCGTTGATGCTAGTAGCGATCGATTCTCTATTTTTTTTTTCTCTTTTTCTTTTTGCTAATACTCGAAGGAAGAAGAAATGCATAGAACATTATAATCATCATCGTTTATAGCTAACGAGAAAACTTGGAAAAAAGCTGTATATACATTTATATACTTGATGATGATGATTCTACTGTTCTATGTACTTTTGATTGACAAGTTTCGGCCATAAGATGGGAAAGGAAGGAAGGAAAAAAAAATTTTTTTTATGTATATATGAATATGAATATATACTAAACGATTGATGTGTAATACATTATGGGTCAAATTACATCCAATAAAATTTTAGACTTGACATGTTTTGATTCAAAAAGTAACATAAAAAATTTTTTTTTGTTTTATGAAGAATAAGAAAAAAAAAAGGTTCGAAGAGGTTCTGTTCTTTATTTTTAATTTGTTAGAAAATTGTCCAATCAAATTTTATTATAAGTCATCTGAGTTAAAGCAATTGATAATAAATAAAGACGCATTAATATATAGTTTTTTGATTATGTATTCAATTTTGAGACTTGGTATGTTCTAGTTTTTTTTTTGTTTATTTTTGTAATGAGAAGATTTTAAAATTTGACTTAGTTTCTCGTCCATCGACAATATCATGTATTCGTCATTTAAAAATGAATACAAGAATGCCACGTTCACGACCAGATTTACTTCGATTTATGGAAGATATTACATTACCTGTACTTGAAAAACCATTACCAGATCCTGCTGAAGATTGTTATCGAGAACAAATCAAAAATAAAATACTTCTTGATCAAGAAGATATTGAACTTGTATGATTATTATTTTCTATTTAATTATATTCTTCATGTTGAATCTTACGTAGAAAAATTAATCAATTTTAAACTTCGAAAGAAAAGAATTTCCAATTGATTAGAATCTTGATTATGTCTATATACTAAGAGTATTATTCTCAAAAAAAGAGAAAAAATAAAAACGATTTGAGTTGATAATGCTGTTTTTTGAAGAGCTAAGACTACTAAACTGTTATTCTAGTTTAATACAAAGTATTTATAAAGATGTATATTTTAACTCTTGATTTTATTTATATGGATATATTTTAATTATTCAATAGATTCTGAGATTTATATAGGAGCAAAGTTTTAGTTTTAAAATCTTTTGTTCGACTTCGTTGTCAATGTGTTGTACCAGATCAAAAAATCATTAAAATCATATTAGAATGAATCCATAAGTATCCCAACTACTTTTTAGAGAAAGGTTTTGCTTTGTCAATTTTCGTCTAAAATGTTGTATTTGTTTGCAAGATTCACAGCTCGGTCGAATCTCAATAGAAAGAAAAATGATTTGAAGTTTGTGCTAGTCTATTAGTACTCGTATGTAAAATATAAACCAAAAGCTTGGAATAAATTGTGGAACTATCATTTGACATCCCTAAGAAACACTTGGAATCGTCACCTTTTCATACAAAACTTAGAGAGACAATAGTCGCTAAAGAAAAGATTTTTCTAAGAGATAGTTGAATATTCATGGATTTATTTCGACTTGGAATAGAAGACTAAAACAAAATGTTATGAAACAAGTAGCAGTTCAGTTAAGGATTTTTCATTCTAAATCAATGCAAGACAATTAAAAAATATTCTCATTGTTAAGGAAGTTTCACAAGATGTCACTCTTTTTAAGGAACTCTTTGAACGTAAATTATCATAAAGCTTTCATAATATTGATATCGAAAAAAAAGACTAGAAACATTACTAATTTTTGAATTGCCATCGTTTTTTTATGCTTTTATAAAATATGTTTAATAGAAACAAATTTGTCTTTTGATTTCTTCTCCTTCATATTGCGTAAAATCAAAACCACAGCAAGATTTCCTGTTCGAGAATGTATGAATTCTTCATTTATCAAATTGAGGATCTCCTAATGTGTAGCATATAGAGTCACGAATTTATCAAACGAGACCAGTTCAATATGTCTCACTCTATCTGATGCAATTATCATACTTGACGAAATATGATTAACGTTTTCAGTTGCTTGCAAAAGCCTGGAAAGTGAGAAAACCACAAAATAGATGAAATTGAAATATTGTTTGAGAAGATTAATATTTCTAAATATGCTGTTTTCATGAACGACAAAAAAATCATTCCCGTCATACTATTAAATATAATGGTACATTAGTTAATCACTTAACTAGAATTAATCTTTTTTTTTGTATCTATTCATTCTTAATTAATCAAATAGGTTCTACATATGTCCTTGAGTTTTGTGGATTTAATCTTAATATTTCTAGGCTTCTGAATATGATCAATTTCGTGCGCGACGTTTTCGTGAAATGCTTGAATCAAGTCGTGTTGTTTTACTTTGCCAAGAAGTTTGCATTATTCCACCAAGTAAATCAAGTTTGCTGAAAAAAATTTTTATATTCTAAATATTTTTTTTTAGTTCGATATACAATTGCAAAAATGCAATTTATGAAAAATGGATTTACATTTATAAAATTTCCAAGAATAGTTCCACAGTAATTATTTAAAGAGTTAAAAATAAGATACACACAGAGTGGACCAAAAGTCACTTTACCATATAAAAAGTTAGAATGTCTCCACCATAGTTTGATCAAATGGGCTGATTTTTCTCATTGGAAATAAACTAGTGTTCATAGTTCATATCGATGAGAAGAGATTGTAAAAAACCGTTTTTTTAAAGTATCATTATCGGCTTCATCCACGACTAAATTCTACCATTTCATAAGTAGTAAAGAAAACAGTACAGTTGTGAATGAGTACCTTGTCTTTATCCGCACCTACACCAATCCAATAGTAATATTTGAAAACGGTTCCTTTCAATATTTTTTCCATGAATATGAATTATGAGTACTCCTTATCATCACTAAAAAAATCAGCCTATTCAGTCAAATTATGGCAATGATATTCAGTTTGTTTTGTACATTCAAGTAATTTTCTGTCTATTCTATGTACATGGTTTTTGTTTTTATTTTAGTTTAGCATTAGCAAATGATACTCAATATGAAAATTTTCTTCCACCAATTTTATCATTTGGTTTTGAAACAATTTATTTATTTCATAAAGAAAATAATTTATCATTAGCTTTTAAATTACTTAAAAAGTATCGAAATAATTTATTATTAATTGGTAAAAATAAAGAAAATAAATTAATAATATAGTTTTTCACTTATACATAAACTTTTCAAAAAATTTCAGGTGGTCTTGTTGATGGACGTTTATATAATCGAGCTGGTCTTGAAAATTTAGTACAATTACCGAACATTGATTATTTTCAAGGTGAACTTGTTTCAATAACACAATTACCTAGTAGTCGAACATTATCATTAGCAAATCATCCAGCACGATTACTTAGTCATTATTTAGATACATATGTTAAATCTCAACAAACAAAAACATGATTTGTTTTATTATACGTTTTGTTTTTGTTTTGTTAAGAAAAAAAGAAAACGATTAAAAAAAAGAACATTGTTGTTTTTTTTTATAAATATTATCTATTAGAATATTTTCAGATGGCTGGTTCGGCATTACGACGGTTGATTGCTGAATATAAACGTAAGAATAAAAGTTAATCATAAACAGTTACAAAGAACATTCGATTTGTGATTTGTTATAGAATTAACAAATAATCCACCGGATGGAATTTTAGCTGGACCTATTAGTGATGAGAATTTTTTTGAATGGGAAGCACTTATTACGTTAGTATAATAAGATAATATTTGATAGAATAATTTGTTTTTGTTTAATTAATAGAGGACCCAATGGTACACCATTTGAATTTGGAGTTTTTGCTACTCGTCTTCATTTTCCAGGTGATTATCCATTAAGTCCACCAAAAATGAAATTTGTTAGTGAAATTTTTCATCCAAATGGTATAATAAAAGATTATATAAATATTTATGATTAACGTTTTGTTTTTTTTTTCTATTAGTTTATCCTGATGGAAGAGTGTGCATTTCGATTTTACATGCACCTGGTGATGATCCTATGGTAAGAGAATCGTAGTTTTCAATAGGAATAATCTAAAAGAATATCATCACACCTAAATGTTAAATCTGTTGTCGGAGAGAAGATAGTTATATTGATCAGTGAGTCTAGAATGTGAAGTTTGGTGTGTCTCTTTTAGAATGAAGGTAATTAGGGAGATACAGATCTAGGTTTTTGTAGAATCAAATTTCACAGATTCAGTAATAAAAATCGATCATGTCTTGACCTCAGTTTTTCTTTCTCCGTAGTATCTGCTATATTTTGTATAGATGATTAAGATTTCAGTAGTTTTTTTCGACCACTTACAAACTCATCGTTCGATTTTCCATGCACTAATGTTTTCACTTAGACGAAAAGAACACTCTGTTAGCTAAAACGAAAATCTAGCAAATTGTTGATAATTAAATAAACTTCATTATTAGATATTGTCAAACTCATAGTATCATCAAAATCATCAGTTGTATAGATGTGTCTACGGAACGCATTCTGCTATGAAATATGTCCGGACAAAAATAAACAATATCCTTTTTTTTTCCTTCATAATCATCTAGATTGAAACCCGCTGCATCCAATATTTTTCGATTGAGATCTAATCAAAATTTTTTCGAATATAGATAAAGATTTGTAATTTCAGTTTACTGACCACCGACGCTACCAATTCCGTGTAGTTAGTACCTAGGATTGTTCCCAACCTCGGATCCGCTATCAAATTCGATGGATTCTTATCGAGATGAATTGTTTTGACAAAAATATTATTTTTTAGGGCTATGAAACAAGTGCTGAACGATGGAGTCCTGTACAAAGTATTGAGAAGATTTTGCTTTCCGTTGTTTCTTTACTTGCTGGTAAATATATTTTAATCGTATTTTTTAACGTTTATATCTTATTCTTTTATAGAACCAAACGAAGCCAGTCCAGCAAATGTTGATGCTGCAAAAATGTTTCGAGAAAATCGTGAAAAATTTGATGAAACAGCAAAACGTAGTGTTCGAAAAACACTTGGACTCTAATTGATCTTTGCTTGTTTTTTGATTTTTTTGTCGATCTTTAATTTCATTTCCTTTTATTCACAGTAAAAATTGGCAATAGGATCTATGTCTTTTTAGATGATTTTTTCTCGAAATTCTGTTTCACTTATTAATTATGCTTCACGTCGAGTGAGTTGTTGCTTTCTTTTCTCTAGAAGTATCATTATAAATAATATTTATATAGTTTGTTCAAAATCTTCCACGTAATGTTCGACTTGAACTTGATGCAGATGTTAGTAAACAATTAACATCTGATAATAGAAAATTAGCTTTTTTTAAAGAACATAAAGGAAAATTTAATCATAAAAATTCTTTGCCAAAACAGCTTGAAGAAACAATAAACACGATTTTATCCGGTAAAATTCTTAGTTCTTTTTTCTTGTATTCATAAAAAAAATCATTTGATAATCGTTTCTTCGCATAGACATCGAACCACAACGTCTTAAAATCGATATAAAATTACTTGCAGATCATTTAGCTGAACGACGTTTACCAGTTGAACAGCGTGAATTGCAAACTATAGCACAAAATGTGATACAAAATTTAATAAATACCGAACGTAAATATTTTATAGAAAGGGAGGGGGTCGTTTATTGTTGAAGTTGGCCCCCTGGAGAAATTTTATTTCTTCCACATCAAACCATCGTACAAAGCATGTGAAAGTGAGCTGTAGTAGAATTAGTCATATAATACTTATCTGCACTATGCACAGGTCAATTGCAATAGTCAATGGTCGTCACATATACGTTGAACCCGACTGTTTATCATACTTAAGACTTTTTATCTACCCATCTCATGAACGATCAGGCTATTTTCATATAGTTTGATAGCACTTCTCAGATGCTTCAAAATTTTATAAGAACATTTAAGAAAAATATCACTGACTTCACAAAGAAATCTCAAAGGCACTTTCTTGAGACAAGATTTTGAGCCTTTTTCCCTAGTATTTAGTAAAATTCTATATGAAAATTACGGTTTGTGTGAAAACTAATATGTTAGTAAAAATCAGTATCTCAGACTCAGTGAGGTTGGGTGTATTTCAAATAGTTTCACAAACCCTTTTTCGTCGAAAATCCCCTCCCTGATCCCTCTCAGGATTTTGTCAAAAAATGAATCTAATCGAAGAGTTATTTTGACAGTAGGAGTCAACTTCTAAGGTTATAAAATGATAGTTGAACTCCCAATAATAGATCAATAAACAATAAAAATAGAGTTCTCACAAAGTTAAACTTTTTGATCTACCCTTAGGATACCAGAGGTGGGAAATATCATATTAGTTTTTATCCAAATTGCAATTTTTATATCGAAACCTACTAATTATCTGTATAAAAGAGCTCAAAATATACTCTCGAACACAGTGTCCTTAAGATTTCTTTGTGTAACCAGTGTTTTCTTCTCAATGTTCTTATATCATTTTAAAGCGCTTGAGAAATGCTATCGAAATATATGAAAATAGTCAGGTTCACGGTATCTGTCACGTTCATTGGCTATTTCAATTAATGTTTACATAGCACAAATAAGCACTATATGACTTATTCTACTAGAGCTCACTTTTCGACATCTTGAGTGATAGTTATTTGATGTAGAAGAAATTAAATTTCTGCAGGGGACCATTTGCAACAATAACCGACCCTCCTTCTTTTTATATTAATTTCTGTTTGTTTTTTTTTTGCTTTCTGTAAAGCACAAATGAATACATTGGCAATGAATCCAGAACAACGTGAAGAATTAAATCTTAAACGGCAACATGAATTAATGAAACGATTAAAATCATCAATTTATCATTGGCAACCATTAATGTATAATTGCACACTAATAAAAAAAAGAATTTATTATATTTTATACATTTTAGCTTTGATGAATATAAATCTAAAGTATATATGGCGACTAATTTTGCAGCTCATTATGCAATGCTCGTACAAATTTTCAATGAAGTGTGTTCATTAGTAACGAGTGATCGGAAAGTTTTTAGACAAGATGCTTCTTTACTTTTGATTTACTAGAAAGTATTTCCGGTGAGTTAGTACTAGAGTTTTCTACTTGTTTCGAATATTGGCTAAAAAATTTCGTCTTAGTTTTTGTCCCAGAATAGTAAAGAACTTTTGGAAAGGCCAGAAAACGATGAGCCCCCTGCTTTTTTTTTGTTTACCCTGATATTGGATCAAACCTTAGCTTTTACTCAAGTAAAGTTACAAACACTTTTCAAGAGCTTCTTTCAACATACAACAGTTGTCGACTGTTTGAAAATGAGTATTTAGGTAGAACAAAAATTGAACTGTTTTGTCGAAAGACATAAATAATGAAAATACAAAACTTCTCTATTCAAACTAATTCTTTTAACTTTTCAATGATTATTTCATTATTTTCGAACAAAAACTAACACAACTTGTCTAAGACCTAATGAGAAAATAAAACAAACATTTTATCTAAAAACTTTTCAATCATCCGTTACAAATTATATATGTAAAAACTTATGTTGAAAAATTATTTAGATTAAAAAACGAGAACGGAATTTTCAACCTGTTCGTTTATTTGATTTTGGATCTGGTGCTGGTTCTGTTATGTGGTAAAACATATCTTTAATATTCTTTTTTCCTTGTTTTTGTTAATTTTTATTTAAAGGGCAGCTATGCATGTATGGGGTAAACAAACATTTGCCGAAATTCTTAACGTTGATAAATCACGTGAAATGAATGAACTATCTCAATTAATATTACAAAATGGTCAACATAATAAAACTCCACTTGTACATGGTGTTATTTATCGACAATTTATGCCACATGCACGTGAAGTATGTTTTATATTGTAATTTTTTGACTATGATATGTTCAGAAAAAAAATGCTAAAATTTTTTTTGTTTAGAATATATTTGATCTAGTTGTTGCTGATCATACATTATTTGAATTTGAAAATCGTTTTGAACGTTTAAAAGTTGTTCAATCATTATGGTATAATGTTAAACCTGGTGGTTTTCTGGTAAAATTTTTCTTCTTTTTTTGTTGTTTTAAGAGGAAAAAATTATTTAATTCAATGATTTAGTTTAGATTCTTGTTGAACGAGGTACTATTCATGGTTATACAGCAATTATTGAAGCTCGTGAAAATATTTTACATGTAAGTTCTTTAAAATAAATTATATAAATAAATAAATAAATAAAACGTTCAAAAATTAAGTCATTTTATTTATTCTGATAATTATCAAGTTAATAATTAGATGAAATAGAAGTTTAGTTCTATTATTTATACGAAAAAGACATTAATGACGAACAGAGAAGAAAACACATGTTTCTTTTCTATTAAGAGAAAGGGCATCTACTCGATTCAATTCACATAGGAAATAGACTTCGTAACATGATCAGCTGAGGGTTTACGATAAGAAAAACTACATATTATGGAAACATATGGAAAGCAAATGAAGAAAAATAGTTGCTATGATATAAACTATGCATAAAAAAAACGAGGTAATCGAGAGTCAATAGTATGAATCACTATAAAATGTATCGACGAAACAACATCTTGAAAACCCTTATAGTTTAATTGTAAATATCGCTATAAGATCACATGTAACGAAAACAAAACATACAATGTATTACGTACATTTTGCTTTCTACATTCTTGTGATATCTTTTTAGCGTATTGCTGTTTTTGATGAAACAACGAAAAACAATGACGAAGAAGTAAATAGTGAAGAATCATCAACAGAACAAGATGACTCATCCTCAAGTAAACGGTATTCTCCAGCACATATATTTTCACCGGTAAAAAAAAGAAAACATATGATGTAAAACAAATATTGTCTGCGATATTTCCCATATGTTATGAAATTTAGTGTCCTCATGATTTAACTTGTCCAAAGAAACAATTAAATATACCATGTCAAATCGCTACACGATATCGACCATTACAAATATTTGATCTTCAACGAGTAATTTTTTTTTATATTGAAGATTATTTTTTTAAACTAATTTTTATTTTTCTCCTTTAGAATGTACCTGATTATGAAACAACTCAAATGTCATATGTTGTTATCAAAAAAGCTGAACGAAATAAAGATGGTAAGATAAAAGTTCATAGAAACTTTCTCTAAAACTCTTACGATATTATATAAAAGATATTTATGGAACATGGCCACGTGTTATTGAACCTATAATTGATCGTAAAAATCATCAACATGTTCGACTTTGTTGTCCTAATGGTCAATATGTTAATGTACCTATATCAAAAAATAAACATGGCGTGTATGTAACCTTTACTGTTCTTAATAACTTTATGGTATAAAAATCTTGACACAAAATATTCATTTATTTTTCAAGCAGTTGGTTACAACCAGAAGCACTTAGTTAGAATTCAACTTATTTGTTCTTTCCAAATCATTAGATGATTGCTGAAGATCGAAATAAATGATTGCATAGGATATTATTTTGTATTTCGATTGAAATCTATCGAATTCAAAATACGAAACAGTTTTTAATCGCTCACTTTACTGTATAATGGGTACTATTTACTTTTGTATGATAAGTTTTTATATAAAAACTATTTTTGCAACAGCAATTGTTGGCTTTCATAGAAATTAGTTCTATAGTAGAAATGCATAGATATCGTTTACTGTAAGATATAAATCGCTCTTGTGCTCTGTACATGCATAGTTTTGAATTTTTTTCCAGAAAACTTTCCATTAGTTATTCAACTTTACCCTATAAAGAGAATACAAACATATATTCGGAAAGAGTGAAAAATTTCTACTTGCGGCTCTTCATTGTTGTCTTTTAGTGATTAAAAAAAATGATTGAATATTTTGTGTGAAGATCTTTGCTATCTAGATTAAATATTATTTTTTTTCAGCGGCCTTCATCGTTTATCACATCATGCTGCACCCGGTGATATATTTCCAGTAACTGGTGAACTTATTGAAGATAAACCAATAAGAAATAAAGAAGACGCCACAACTCTTCGACAACGACGAAGACGAGCATATAGAACTTAATTATTTTTGTTTTCTTTGTTTTATGACATAGAGATAAAAATAATGAAATGATCTCTAATGTCATATGTTGTTATAATTTTAGATAATTTTTTAAACAAAAAAATCTAGAAAGAACAGTTTTTAAATGGACTATCGGACACTTGTTAATGAAGATAATGATGCTACCGAAGGACAAGAGCAAAGTTTATCACCATTTATACAATTTGATACCGAAGAAGATCAAAATAATAGTGACAAACGTAAAGACAAAAAATATTTCTTTTAAACTCTCAAGAAAAAAATATATATATTTTGTTTTAAAGAATCACCATGGAGTCATCAAAAAGATCTAGATGATTTTTTTGTACGTGTATATCAATATCATCAACAACATGGATTTTTTTGTATTATACTTTCTGAAATATTTGGTCTTGTGTAAGTTATTTGAAATATATATATTTTTTTTTTTTGTGTAAATTAAGAACAAAATATATTTGTTCAATAGACAATTTATATTTATTGTTTCATTTACTGTTCTAATTGTGCAATGTATTGATTATCCACTTCTATTTCGTTCAACACCATCAGCTAGAAATATAACACATAAAATACATTTTAATGAAGTTATTCAATCACCTAACCAATGTCTTAGCAAGTATGTTTTAATTTTTGCATTAACTATAAAAATTTTATTTTATTTTTTTATTAATTAAGTATGCATTTATTAACAACATTATGTATAATACTTTCTATAATCTATTGGTTTTATCGTTTATCACGTGCTATTTATAATCTTTTTTCATATTTTAATATTCGAGCATTTTATACTCAAGCATTGGATATTAAACCGGTAAAAAGAATTACTAAGTGATTCTATCGAATTTGGTGATCTATCTTGAACTAGCATGCCATATATGGAATTTTGTAGTGCAATTTGCGTCATTTTTTTTTCTATCATCAATAGTTTTCATCATTGTTTTCTTCATAACTAAAAATGGTCCCCTTTTTTTGATTCAAGATTATTTCTTGACTATATGATATTTCGATGTTTTCAATTCTGTGTTGCAGAACAAATGAATATGAACGTGAAATAGTCTCAAAAATTAAACAATATCAATTCGATACATTTCACACATGACTTCTTTCGGAGCAGCAGGGACTGATTGTCAGCTTTCAAGATTGTTCTATAGAATAATCTATTCCTCTATACAGAAGGGTCGGTATATTTACGATACTTAACTAATATTTAACAGTCCTATTAAAAATTTTTATGTACCAATAACCAGCACAGTATTTCTAATGAACCGATCTAAATAGTTCCTTTAATAACGAAAAAGATTTTTTTTTTGAAAAGAACTCGAGATATTTATAGACTCTTAGAGAATTTTATGTAAAAATCAAACCTATATATTCGGAATAAAATAGTAAAAAAGAAATAATAAAAATATGGTCAATACACTCGTTCTTTCATGTAGAAAAACAGACTATTCTAGAGGACCATCTTGACAGTTGACAATGAATCTTTGCTCTCTTTAAGGATACTATGGGAGAAACAGATGGGCTCGATAGTGTGCAATTTTTTAAGTTTTTCCATGTTGATACTCACTTGTTATATGAAATTAAGTTGAATATACTGGAATATAAAGTAATCAACGAAGAACCTAGACTTACGAAAAATGAACAGTTTTAAGCATGAAGAAAGCAATTATGAAAATTATTGATTATAGAAAATTGTAGAACACCTATAACTGTATCAAACTGAATTTAAAAATAAAATTTACATAAGGTTATCTTAGAACATTTAAAGGAACATAATGTCTATGAATATCATAGATATTCCGTAAGGATTCTAAGTAGTACATGGACATTCAACACATGAAAGTTTCCATAAAACTTGATGTTTTTGTATACCATTTGATGTGTCACAATTAGCTTCACAAAACCACATGTATAATATCCTAGCTCAAGATAGGTCATCAAATTCAGCAAGGTTCTTTGTTTTGTTTTTGAAATTTTTTTGTATTGCAGAACGATCTATTAAATATGACTTGGCATGAAGTTCAACAACGGTTATTAATTGCTCAACGAACGCATCATTTATGTATACATAAATTAAATTTAACAGAATTAGATATTCATAATCGATTATTACGTTTCAAAAATTATGAAGTAGCAATGGTTAATAAAGGAATTCTACCACCGAGAATACATCTACCGATATTTGGTGATATGTATGTTTGTTTATTATTTGTTTAATAATCAGTTTTTTTTTTGTTGTTGTATTAATTCGATCTATTTCAGAATTTCATTTACAACTGGTTTTAAATTTAATCTACGTTTAATATTATTTTGTAAGTAGTTCAAAATGTCTTTAAAGATGAATTTGATATTCATGTTCGATTAATTTTCATCCATTTCGTAGGCATTTGAGAAAATCAAAAGTAATTAGCTGGTATTATGATTCCATACTATTGCTAAAAATTATGTATAAACTTTCTTCTAGCTTAAAGTTAGCTCATTGAGAGTAAACCTTACACACAAACAAGAAAAAACAACGATTATATATAATTTTTAACGCTTTCATATTAGTTATCCGTTTTTAAAGAGAGATTTGTTCTAGAAAATTCTAAATTCGCTTCTCTTTTTTATATCTTGTTACAAATGATCGAAACCTACTGCATTCTACATACTAAAATTCGAAAAAAAATACGATGCCACGTAAAGAGTACCTATTCGAAAAATGTATGTAAATTTTAATTCTTTCGTGTTCCAGCTCACTGTAGTCCATGATTCGATAGAAAATTAAATTCTCTATAGCACTAGAAAATCAAAATTATTTCAAAACCTCGTTCGCAAAAAACTATAAGTGACATAAAAATGCGTGTGTTGCTAATGAGGAAATCATTTGACCTGATACCGATCATTTGTGCTCATATTAGTTTAGTAAGAAGGTCTCGTTAAAACTAGAAAAAGTCCTAGAGGATTTCTTCCATGAATCTTTAGAGTTGCATTAAAATTATTTTAATAAATTTCTAATCCATCTTTCGAGTAAACTTGAAAATTGAATATCTAAACAAAAGAATATTCGTTTCGGCTAAAAGTTTCAGAATATTCTCTAGATCACTATCGATTCATAGACAAAATTTTATATTGAAACTCAGTTTTTTTTGGTTTCCTATATGTAAATTTTTCGAATTTTTTCTTAAACATTTTAAAGACGTTGTGATAGTAGTTGATTGATTTTTCTGTCAAATTCATTAGTTATCACATTTTTCTTATCGATGAAAAAATAGTCGTTTCAGTTAACTATTGCTCATGATTATTTTCTAATAATATTGAAAATCAAATTTATTTAGGGGGTCCATATGCACCATTTGATCAACGATGGCATCTACGACAAGAATATAAAATCTATAGTCAACGTGAAAAATTAGCTAAACAGTAAATTTTTGAATTAAATACTTCTTATTAAATATTTAAATATGTTTAGATTATCAACTTTTATTTTACTGTATGGTCTTGCTAATTTACTTTTATCACCATTTATATTTATTTGGCAAGTATTAAATCTATTTTATGGTTATACTGAGGTAAATAATTATAAAATTAGATGATGAAAATAGATAATCTATTTTTTATTTTTTATTTTATAAGCTTGTACGACGTGAACCAGGTGTATTAGGTAGTCGTCGTTGGAGTAATTATGGTCGACTATATTTACGACATTTTAATGAACTTGATCATTCATTAAATCAACGTTTAAATCGTGGTTATAAACCAGCTATTGGTTATATGAATTCATTTGTTAATTATAGTATTGTTGAAACAGCAAAGTAAAGCTTTTTTTTTTGAAAATAAGAAAGTAGAATATGTTTTTTTTTCTAATTGTTATTCGTATGTTTTTCTAGATTTGTTAGCTTTGCAACTGGTGCTATATTAGCTGTTCTAGTCTTATTAACAATTTATGATGAAGATGTTCTTAATGTTGAACATATGTTAACAGCAATGACTAGTCTTGGTGTTGTTCTTGGTGTTTGTCGATCATTAATTCCTGATGAAGTAAAAAAAAAAATCAAACAAACAAAAGATTTTTCTTAGAAAAAATATTGTGTTTTGTTTTTGTTATGTAGCATGCAGTCTTCGATCCAGAACAAATGTTACAACTTGTTCTTGCACAAGTTCATTATCAACCGGATTCATGGAAAGATCATGCACATACAGATTACGTTCAAGCAGAATTTGGACAAATGTTTCAATTAAAATATGTATGTTTATTGATGAATTTTTAAACGATTAAACTTATATAGTTGATCATATATGAAAATTTATGAATGAAATTTGCAGAGAAATTTATCTTGATTGATTGAAGAACTATATGTAAATTATTTTCTTGCATTGGCATTCATTTGTTTTGAACATGCCATTTCAAAATTTTAAAAATAATGTTGTGTATCAAAATGACAGTCAATCTAATGAGAAAACACGTTGTTTTTTTTGTAAAAATTCCTTCCAAGATTTTAGTTTTGCAACAAACTTATATTTTTCTTAATTTCTATGAATTTACTATTGTCTATTTAAGGTTTATTTTCTCGAAGAACTTGTCAGTGCATTTGTAACGCCACTTGTATTATGTTTTCAATTACGTCGTAAATCTTTACAAATAATTGATTTCTTACGCAATTTTACAATTGATGTACAAGGTGTTGGCGATGTTTGTAGTTTTGCTCAATTAGATGTAGCAAAACATGGAGATATGAAAGTAAAAAAAAAAACAATATATTTATTATGTTTCTTCAATTAAAAATGTTTTTCGTTTTTTTTTTATTCATCAGTGGTTTGCACCTATACGTCCAAAATCAAATAATAAACCTGATGGTGGAATAGCTAATGATGGAAAACTTGAATTGTCATTAATGCATTTTCATCATACAAATCCAAATTGGCAAATGCCTAAACAATGTGAAGTTTATTTAGAAAAAATTCAAGAACGAGGTTTTGCAACGTTGTTTTTATTAATTGAA